CAAGATTATGTTTGATTTTCAGGTCGTTTTGGCGTTTTAAAAAAAACAATGTTGACGATTTCGAAGGCATTTTGGCGACTTTTGGTGCTATTTTTCCATGCTTTATCTGGAATTTTAAACACCATTTAGATGCTTTAAAGGTTTTTTTTTTGCGATTTAAAGCTGTTTTAGTGGTTTTAGGTAATTTCGTTGGTCTTAAGACTAGTTTTGACGTTATTACGAGTTTACAATAAAGTCCAAAACTATAACGATAAATCAATAAATGATTGTTAAATCACCAGCCGAGATTTGAAAAATCTATCTCTTCACAGTGTTCCGAAAAATTGTCCATTCAGGTGTACGCTTAATTTTTAGATACACTGTATGCAGTAAGTGTTTGTTTACATTAACCTTCTGCCTGCATTCCAATCAATAGAATTGTCCAAAAATGCTTTAAAACACTGTACCTACCTTACCTACCTACAAACTTCTGTAGTGAATGTGAATATTGTCGGTAAGCTGTTTTTATTCGGCAACTTTTCCATTTGAACTGCGTGCTAGACAAGTCGAAATCAGCAGCACTTTGTAGTGTGTATGTTTCGTTTTAAGATCTACGGTCGTTAAGAAAAACCTGGAAAAATGCGTTTGCTCAGTCGTAGAATTCTAATCAGCTTAAAACTGAAAGACTAAAAAATCATTTGAACACATTCAGCGAAGTATTTTGGTGAAAGAATCCAGTGAGATTAACGTTTCAATTTAGACTTCCAAAAACAGTAACTGTCTGCTAAAGGCGTCCTTTTCCCTATTTAAACTTTTTATGGTCATTCGTTATTTTCAAGTGCTCTCCTAAAATTGTTTTGTCTTAAGTACAAAGAAAAAAAAATAGTTGCTGTACATCATTTCAAAGTGATCTAACAGTTATCAAGGATTTTGAATGTTAAGAATTTTCATAAACTTAATTTACTATACTCTATTGAGAAGCTTGACTACCAATATTTAAAGCACTTATAAGCAACACGCCTTACATCACAATTAAATTCCGTAGAAAACGTAGAACTTCTGACAAAATAAATTGAAACTTTTCCAACATTTTGAAATATTTTTTGATGTATCGCCTTATATGTCTGGCGTACACCTAGGGGTACGCGTACAACAAGATGAGAACCGCTGATATAATTAATTTCAAAACAAAGCAAAATACGAGAATTGTCAATGCATTTGTTGTCATTTTGGATAATTTATAATTCTCAGAATTTATTTAATTAAGTATACGGAGGCGAACCAGCCTCAGGCTGAAAGCCTCCATAATAAAGAAAACTCAACTTTAACTTATTTAATTAAGTGCATTTGTTCCTGGAGTGCTCCTAATTATTTGTATTAAAGTTTTAAATAGCAAAGTTGACAACGCCGCAAAAAAATCTATTTTCACCAATTGATTGCTGACCCAAAATTAGTAACTCCAACAATTTTAGTTTAAATTATTATTATTATTTAACTTTATTAGGGAGGCTTTCAGCCTTGGGCTGGTTTGCCTCCAAGGATTTTTTAGTTTAAATTAGATCGGTCACTTGAGATTGAATTACCTAAATAAATTATGTTGAGTCAAATGGCGTTCAGCAAAACGGCTTTCGACCAAACGGTGTTCAATCAAACGACTTTCAGTGAAAAAATATATTCAACCAAAGTCAGTCAACAGTCGATTCTTCAAAAGAAGTTATAAAATCATACGGAAAATCTAAATACTTTTATATGAACATGCCAAATGTCCTTACCTTACCTTATGTAGAAAATTAATGTTTATACCCCGAGCAGGAACCGATAGCTAATCGATAACAAATGAATATCTTAATGTGGTTGGAATTGAAATGCTTGTGGTATAAAACCTTGTTTTGATATTATTCAGTTATGGAAATATTTTGAAAAATATCAAATGAATACAAAAATAACGAAATTGAAAGATCTATTTAGACTATAACACCTAAAAAAGTTATTGAATTGGTATTAGAAGACCATCAAAATAACAAACTATGGTATTCTGGCATCTGGCATCTAAAAAAGCGTCTGTTATCCGTTTGTTATAGTAATAACTAAATTATTTATTAGTTCGTTATTCGTAGAATATTTTGAGGTACACACTTAGAAATAACTAATTTTACAAGTGACGGAATCCATCTTTGACATAAAAGATGAGACGTAAACAAACATGTCATGTCACAAGTGCTCCGAGACTGAAAAGTTCGTTGCTCTACAAAAGTACAATTCATTAAGCTATATTCCGCGTCTGTTATGACTCAAATTTATGTCATAATATACGCTCGCATATGTCACTATCAGAGCACCTAAATTTACATGACTTTTTCTAAGTGTGTATCTTTTTTGGTATTTTACCTCTTATGTCAGTTTTACTAATATCATATTTAGGTTGCCAGTGATGCTATTTTCATACCTGAATTTGGTATTAATAAATTATTTTCTCTTGCTCGAGACGTGTATCTTTCTTTTCGACAATGTAGTAACTTGATTCATATTTATTAAGGCTGTGTTCTAATTGGTGAATAAGATAAGAAGTTACACTACTTCACTGGCTTTACTTGATAACCACTGACGTGTGCTAGTCAGAAATCGGCCGATCAACAACAGAATGATTTTATAACATTTAAATATATTTTCGACGAAGCACCGTTAAGATTTTGGGGCCTCCCTTAGCTCAGTCGGTGAAGGCGCATCTACAAACCAATCTAGGAATTTTTCGGGTTGGAAAACTTCTAGACTACCCTGGGCATAGAGTATGATTGTACTTGCCACACAATTATACCAATGCAAAAATGGTAGAGGCATCGAAAGCTCTCAATTAATTACTGTAGAAGTGCATCTAGAACACTAAGTTGAGAGCACGCAATAAGCTAATATGAGATATGCAATAAGCTTGACATGCGAAGAAGGAGAAGGAAGAGGACCGTTAAGATTTAATTCTTCATTTTGGACACAGTCATAATATGTGCATATACAATCCCGAGTAAAGTCTGGGATCAAATTGAAAACTAAATTTGATGTTGTGATGTTGCTGATAATGATTACTCAGATTGCTTTTGTCATGCTGTGACATTACATTGAAAACTAATTCTGCTATCAGTGAGAGCAAACTGAAAACTTAATATGGTGTACATTTTTCCAGTTGATAACAAAATAAGTATTCAATTTGATGTTCTGCAAGCGCAACAACACATTGATGAAGAGCAAATGCACAGCAAAATTAAAACAACATTTGTTATCACATTTGTCAATTGCGTAAACTGGAATCAAATTATATCAAAGTTTTAATTCAATTTCCTGCCACTTTGCAGTACTTTGTTCGGTATATCGGCATTCTCCACAAGCGAAGAAGTTATTGTCAATTTATGTTGCACTATATACAACAAATCCACAGTTTTCAATTGAGCATAAGTATATTTAGTGGCAAGTACTGTATGCCCACGGAAGTCGAGCGCATTTCTAACCTGAAAATACCATCGACTTGACCTAATTAAATATGTATGAGCCACTGTCACTAAACAATTCAACTAAACCACTTTTGCAGTCCATAAAGCCCACACAAAATATTGTAGTTAACATCACGAAACATCTCACCCAACCATGATTGCTCCGTAAATCATCCCCATCGCATTCCAAATTTTCCCATTCCGCCCATTACCGGTCGATGCCGTAGGTCCAACCGGATCCAGACAAACAGATACAAATCGATAATTTCATCAACTCCATTTTTCATCCCGACGGCACCAACGACAACACAGAGCAACATATACATGCCAAAATTTCATGCGATAAACTTGAACTTCTGCTACGACCGTTTTCAGCTCTACCTTCCATGTTACGTTACGATGTTCATTTTTGTGTAGATATAAAATATATACGTAGTTGTGTAGTTTTCTCGTTTTGAAAATTGGCCCGTTTTCCCCCTTCATTTTTTCTATCTAGACGTGCTGTTAATATGCCAATCTGGTTTTACTGTTTTGGTAGATTAGTGTTCTGTTACAGCAGGTGAATTCAACCAGTCTTTTATGTCACACGAAAATATACAACACAGAATTACACAAACACTGACAACGACACAAGCTTTAATGATACATTTTAAAGCACGTTCCAATACCAGTAACGGACAACGCGAGGAGTACCAAAAGAATTTTAATTACAGGATTTAGTGGAACGTAGATCCTGTCCTTCATTCAACAAACAATCTGCCGATTACCAGAAGGTAGAAAGCTTCGTATTGGTAATCAAACCACGGTTTGTGCATTAGCACTGGACCAGCAAGTCACAAGCTGCAACCACCGTGGGTATCCATTGAATTCGATATTTATAGAAAACGCCTTATTGATGATATTTTCGTTAGATATTCGACCATAGTGGAGGCGAACCAGCCTAAGGCTGAAAGCCTCCTAAATAAAGCTAAATAATAATAATAATAGATATTCGACCTGTTTGGTGCATACCCAATGTGATTCAGCGAACTAATCCAACCATAGAAGCTCATTGCTAGATAAGCCTGGAAATCACGATATGTCAAACAGGATTATCGGACAATGTAAAATATCCTCCTCCTCAGCCGAACAAAACCAAAGAACGACATAAAACACGAAACGCCATAACACTCCAACAAACACTCCCGAGCCTTTCTAGAGTAAGCCAATTGGATTGTGTTATGTAGATTCCACACGTTTGTTTCCCACATAAAGCGCTTTGCATGTTTAAACGAACATTTCATTCGTCTCCACGGTATTCTTGCGCATACATACACACACACACACACATACACATTCGATTTTTCCGACCCAATGCCAGTGTAGTAAACGTAGTCTGGATTTTCCCACTAATTCACTTTACTCCCTCCTCTCGGAACACAGAACGTTCGGAAAAACAATTCCCTTTTCGAACGGCTGGGCTGAATCAATTTAAAACTGGAATTTACCACGCCCGCATGCGAGATAAAGGTCATTTCTAACATCCTACTTGCCTACTTGCAGGGGAAAATCTCATTCAAAGCCCCAGCAGCATCTCGATGGCCCGGAATACCAGCTCCGGTGAGCTGCAGAATGGCGAACACAAATCCAACACGAACTTTATGAGGAAGATACCACCGGGTGCCGAAGCCAGCAACATCCTTGTCGGTGAGGTGGACTTTCTGGACAAAACACTTGCCGCATTCCTTCGGCTGAACAACGCATCCGTTATGGGTGATTTGACCGAAGTCCCTGTGCCAACTAGGTACGAGTTTGCTGCAATCGGGTTGGAGTTTCATGCTAACAACTCGCTCCATACTTCCTCAGGTTTATCTTCATTCTGCTGGGTCCCCCAGGGAGTCACAATAGCTTCCACGAGATCGGTCGAGCGATGGCCACCCTCATGTCGGATGAAATCTTCCACGAAGTCGCGTATCGTGCCAAGAAGCGAGAACACCTCCTGGCAGGTGTAGATGAATTCCTAGATGCCGTCACCGTATTACCACCGGGTGAGTGGGATCCATCGATTCGGATAGAACCACCGGCCGCCATTCCGTCGCAGGAAGTCCGCAAACGACCTCCGGAGAAAAACCCGAAGGAAGAGATTGACGAGGAAGAGGAAGAACAACGTCAACGTGAAGAATCCGGTCTTTCGCGAACCGGACGCCTATTCGGGGGGCTAGTCAACGATCTAAAGCGGAAGAAGCCATTCTACTGGTCCGATTTTAAGGAGGGACTATCGCTGCAATGCATCGCATCCTGGATCTTTCTGTACTTTGCCTGTCTGTCGCCAATCATTACGTTCGGTGGACTCCTGGGATCGGCCACCGGAAACAACATTGCCGCCATGGAATCGCTGGTTTCGGGATTCGTTTGCGGTATGGGATATGGGTTCTTCTCCGGGCAACCGTTGACGATCCTTGGCTCGACCGGCCCGGTGCTGGTGTTCGAAACGATCGTCTACGATTTCTGCATGCGAGTCGGATGGGACTATCTAACGTTCAGGTAAGTTCCTGGGGAAATAGGGCATGTTTAGGTCAGAGTTTCTACTTTTTTGTTATTAGGCAGCTACAAAATTGTACCTTAGAAGCATTTTTGAGCAATTCACAAAAATGACTCTGGGCGATTGTCCGACACACAGTTGTCAACCTTTTGGTGACACATAGACTACTACAGGTCACAACTGAACCCTTCAAAAGATTCCTAGCAATCGTGAGAAGTGCACGAATCATAAAACCACAAACAAACAGACATTACACTAGCATATTTTTCAATTCCCTTGCTTTTGACTTTTACTCACTACCGCCATCTGTTGAGCGTACTGATCATGACAATGTACTCAATAGATGGCGGTAGTGCTTTAGTGACGATGTTTTACAGTGAAAAATATCCTGTTTGTCTGTGATAAAACTATAACTAAAAAATATAAAAATAATAGAAACAGGTAGCTGCGATCCAGTTTATTGCAAGATTCGGGTCTGATCATTTCAATGAAGTCTGCAAAACTTGTATAACAAGTAAGCAAGACCAAAGAGTCAATTCCACATAACTTAGCGTACTCTACAAGCTACTTAAGGAATTACTTCACTTCACTAGACTGAATGTTCTACTGAACGAGTGTTAAGATGCACTCCACAAGACTACCGAGGGGCTATCGGGGGGGGGGGGGGCTACTTTAGTAAACCTAAGGAAATATTCCACAACTCACGGGCTGATCGAGGGACTACTCCACAGAACTTGAAGAACCACTCATTAGAACTCAAGGGTTACTCCAAAGGACCAATTTTTCGTCGGCTGGTTCGTCCCACAGGACTTGAAGTATTGTTTATTAAAATTGAGAGATTAATAATCAGGACATGGTTAATAGGGTGTAGGGCCACTAAAGTACTAGCAACAATAAAGTAATCACCATAATGTTGTTGTCAATCGAAAAGAAAACTTTAAAGTGCTTTCCAGTATGTGCATCAAAATTTCTGAAATATTGGCAATTCGTGGATTAAATATTCAAGATTTACTTGTGAAAATTTGAACTTGATTGGATGATTTTTTACGAAGTTTGAGAACATTTAGTTAAATGTTTTTTTATTTTACTAACAAAATGGCTATTTGTTGATGCACAAAGATCCAATTGTGCTGTATTTCTTTTTCCTTGTCTTGGTTAGTTAGTTAGTTATCTTTATTAAGGAGACTTTCAGCCGAACGCTGGTTCATCTCCGGCTTCTTATCTTGTCAAAACATAATTCTTTCAATTGGTTGAAAATTTACTAAAATCCTAAATTTCCAGTACTGTATTACCGAACGTCAGTGGGGTGAATGGATCATTAGACCGAAAAGGTCATTAGGCTGAATTTTGAAAAGTCAAAGATTAAATTTAGTATTTCTTGGAACATGTAACACGGAGAATTTTTCAAGGCCACTGTCTGAGAAGGGATATTCAAAACATAGCATAATCTCTAATTTGAATTTTGTGAAGATTTTGTAGTTTTTCAAACATAACATGCCAAACTTAGTTCTGATTTTAAGATCACAAGCATAGATATTTTATATGAGCGTAGAAATTATTTTAAGGACTGAGACTTGGAGAGATTTTCAAGATCTCGCATATAGGAATATTTTCCAGTACTGTACTATCGAACGTCAGTGGGGTTAATAGGTCATTAGACCGAAAGCCATTAAGCCAAAAAGGTCATTAGGCTGAAAACTTAAAGATTAAACTTAGTAGAACATGTAACATCGAGAATTTTTCAAGGCCTTTGTCTGAGAAAGGATATTCTTAACATAGCATAATCTTTAATTTGAATTTTGGGAAGACTTGGAGAGATTTTCAAGATCTCGCATATAGGCATATTTTCAGCAGAGTAATTTTTATACAATTATTCTACAAAGCAGATTTGTCCTTCTTTCAATCATGAGCAGTTCTTTCGAGTTTCTAGAAATTCTATCAACTGAAATGTCTAGTTGAATATTTTTCATAGCAGATTTTTCCTTGAGGCATTCAGAGCATGATTCTGACTTCTTCATAATCGACATAATTCTGAAAACTTCATTAGCTGCTTAATATTTTCATAATCTGGCCTGATGACCCATTCCGCCTTATGGCATTCAGCTTAATGACCCATCAACGTTGATAGAATCCACAAATGGCAGTTATTATGGTTGACTTCCAATTTTTGATGGCACGAATCTCAAAAACTACAAAGATTCCGTGTACGAATTTAGGTACATAAATACTTTTGCTGCACTGCAGCATACGTGTTGATATAATGCCGTACTCAAAATCTTTGTAGTTTTTGAGACTTGTGCCATCAAAAATTCGAAGTTGCAAGGCAAGACAACCATAATAGCGGCCATTTGTGGATTCAATCAAACCTTAAATGCCAACTCCATAAAACGTAAGGGCTAACCCACAGGCTGAAGGCATAGTCCTCATAGGCTACTCCATACAATTTGTCAACAATATCAGTAATCTAACTGAAAAATGATGTCACGTACAAAGTTCAAATATGCTGTAAACTAGTGTAATTGAGTTCTTCATAGAGCTCAAAGAACTAGCCTATAGAACTTATCCGGTAAGTCAACAGGACATAATGAGCAACTCATCAGACTGGATGGGGCTACTCCACAGATCTAGGGCAGATCAATATGATTTCAGAAGAAAGCTTGAACATTTTGGAGGTACTTTTCAGGACTAAAGTGCGTTACTCCAGAGGACTTAAGGAGATACTACAAACGAGGAGCTATACATATTGACGTGACCGGGTGTCTTGTCCCTTGCTAAGTAAACTTCTCTGAGTTTTCCAGGTTTTCCCAGGACTTCAACGGAAAATGACCAGGTTTTTGAAGAAACATGTTTAATGTGAATTCCTTGAAACTGTCCTCAGAATTCCCTAGAATCTCTTCTTTGAGTTCTCTAAAGATGATTACAGGACAACTTTGAGATTTTCCATAGTATTCTTTTGAAAAGTACCTCAAAACTTCGTTGAAAATTCCCTTGAAACTTTCCTAAAATTTTCTATGAAATACTTCTAATAGTACTTTTCGAATCATCCAAGGAAAACAAAATAATTAAAGTTCATAAGCTTTGAAACTTTTTGAAGGCCCTTAATTTATTTGAAATCTGGGATGTTGGAATTCAATTCTTGAAAATTTCTCCAAGTTAGATAACATTCAGTCCAAGATTTTAGAAAATAGTTTAAGTTTTAAATCTGTAGACATTATCCATGTTTCAGAGTCTTAAAAAGACACAATTCAAACCTTAGAATGTATGTTGTTACTGAAGATAAATCCACACCAGAATTATTTTGTTCAAAGAGTAAGAGCAACCTAATGAGGAAGATAAAGTTGGTTGTACTATGAAATATTTTTTTTAAATTTCTGCGAAGGTTCTCTGGCATAATTCAATATGTTATATTTTTAAAAATTTGCATTATAAAGGAATTTGAAAATCCCTGACAATTCCAGATGTTTCCAGATTAAATAAAATTCCCTGAAGATTTCTGGTTTTTAAAGAATTTTCCAGGTTTTCCAGATAGTAGACACCCTGCGTGAAGAGCTTCGGTACATGATTTAAGAGACAACTCCAGTGGAAGAAGTTCATGTTTCTCTTCACAAAACATGAGAGCTGTGTCACAAGACTTCAGAAATGAGTCCACATGGATTAAGAGGGCATTCTACGACATAGAAGAACTTTCCACAAAACATATGAGGCACGTCAATAAGGGGGCCTCCGTTAGCTCAGTAGGTAAAGGCGCAGCTACAAAGCAATACCATGCTGGATGTGGCTGGGTTAGATTCCCGGTCCAGTCTAGCAATTTCTCGGGTTGGAGATTTTTTCGACTTCCCTGGGCATAGAATATGATTTTACTTGCCACTCAATTATACTAATGTTAAAATAGTACCAGGCATCGAAAGCTCTCAATTAATAAATGTGGAAGTGCATCTAGAACACTAAACTGAGAGCACGAAATAGACTAATATGCGATAATCAATAAGCTTTAAAAGCGAAGAAAAAGAAGAAAAATATATTAATAAGATCCTAATCTAAAATAACTATGAATGTATGGAGCTTCCACACAACTTGAAGAGAAAATTTAAATATGTACAACGTGTCTCCTTCACCAACAGGTTCTGGATCGGCACATGGGTGACGATCATCCTGGTCATCCTGGTAGCGGTCGATGCCAGTGCATTGGTGTGCTACATCACGAGGTTCACCGAGGAGAACTTTGCCTGCCTTATTGCGTTTATCTTCATCTACAAAGCGGTGGAGAACGTTCTGCACATCGGAAAGGACTACCCTTTGAATACGGCTGGTACAAACTATGACTGTTCTTGTCTGCCACCGGAAGGAGAAGCCCTATCCCCAGACATCATTCACGAATGGGCGCAGTATAGTAAGAAAAGATGCATGGTAAGTGTTGTCAATCTTTGTCCCACGGAAACATGAATTTGAACATCGCCATACCGATACAGTTGCTAAATGGTACCCTCACTGGTGACGATTGCTTGAAGCCCGAGTACATCTCCGATGTCTTCCTGATGTCAATCATCCTGTTTATCGGAACGTATATAATATCGGTCATCCTGAAGGACTTCAAGAATGCTCTGTTCTTCCCGTCCAACATCCGACAAGTGGTAAGCGATTTCGCAGTCATTATCGCGATCTTTTCGATGACCATACTGGACTATGCAACCAACGTACCGACACCGAAACTGGATGTCCCTCGGGAGTTCAAGCCAACCATTCCGGATCGAGGCTGGCTCGTTCAACCATTCCACGAGAAGAACCCGATCTGGTCTCCGGTGATCGCTGTATTACCCGCCCTGCTGGGCACCATTCTGATCTTCATGGATCAACAAATTACGGCTGTGATAATCAATAGGAAAGAGCATAAGCTAAAGAAGGGCTGTGGCTATCATCTGGATCTTTTCGTACTAGCCTTGCTGATACAGATCTGTTCAATCATGGGACTACCATGGTAGGTTAACTTACTCCCTAGTGATCTCCAAACAATCTACAAATATCCTTACACTTTCAGGTTTGTCGCTGCTACCGTACTCAGTATTAATCATGTCAATTCACTCAAGCAAGAATCCGAAACGGCAGCTCCTGGCGAGAAGCCCCAGTTCCTTGGAGTTCGCGAACAACGAGTTACCCACATATTGATCTTCCTGACGATCGGTTGTTCGGTACTGTTGACACCGCTTCTGTCCCACATTCCAATGCCAGTATTATACGGCGTCTTTCTGTACATGGGAGCGGCATCGCTCAAGGGTCTGCAGTTCTTTGATCGCCTGATGATCATGCTGATGCCAAACAAGTATCAGCCGGACTACATGTTCTTACGACAGGTTGATTGACTAAACAAAACAAATCATTCAAAACGTGTGTGTATTAACATGTCATCTCTTTCGATATCTTTCCACAGGTTCCCATCCGTCGAGTCCATCTATTCACGGTAATTCAGCTGGCCTGTTTGGTCATGCTGTGGGTGATCAAATCATTTTCCTCCACCTCAATTCTATTCCCGCTGATGTTGGTCGTCATGATCGGTATCCGAAAGTCATTGGACCTCCTCTTCACGCGCCGGGAGCTGAAAATCCTAGACGATGTCATGCCGGAGATGACGAAGCGAGCTCATGACGACGACCTCCGGCAGCTCGAGGATGGCGAGGTGGGCCTATATCGACGATTTATTGCTTGTTGTATGGGCGATAAGCCGTCGTCCTCCGTTACCACAATAAACGTTACAAAAGTTGTAGAATCTAAGCAGAACAATAGCACCACTCCTAACAACACTATCGTCAATAATACAAGCACCTGCACTACAACAAATCACGCCACTCCCACCACAAACAATGTCAACCATACACATAGCAGCTAAAACACTATTATTCTCTCCCGAAACACTAGCTGTGACTTGCCAAACGTTTCTATTTTCTCAACCTTTCGTTTCCCAATACGTGACCGCCTATACTATATTTTAAACTTTCCGTAGTTTTTAGGACCTACACGCTCTTATGATTGTGTAGGATAAAAGTGAAATCAAAAGACTCAAATTGGATCTAGAACAAATAACCCTTTAAATTAAGTAGGATTAGAAAATCGCTACTCCTCTTCGGATGGTATTCCACTACTCTGTTTCAATGTCATCAACCTATACTAATCTGACTTTTCGTGTATTATTGTAGTGAATGCACTTTTTTCGACTTTTGTTCAATTCTCGATGAACATTTCAAATGGTCCTATCTGCTTTGGTCGATTCTCTTCATCGACTTTCTCTTTCGTCAATAACTCAGCTGCAAAACCTTTCCCTGTTGTATTTGACGTTTTGGACGCTAGATAAGAACCTCCTTTATCAAACTATGTGGTAGAATTAGCGCGAAATCTGTTTGCATAGCAGTGGTTATGAAAAGAGAAAGTCGATGAAGAGAATCGATCAAAGCAGATAGGACCATTTGAAATGTTCATCGAGAATTGTAGGCATCATTTTTCATTCAAGTTCTGTTTGATTGTGATTGTATAAATGTTTATACAGCTAATCATGCTAACCACAGCAACTAAACATCACGTCATTTACTCACATGCTTCCATAATCACAGCGCTGATTTTGCACCAGACACACGCACGTTCGCAATTAGAACAATTGATTTATTTTTACAACGATAAAATTCGATTTTGTCTATTATTTTCCTAGTTTTTTTTTTTTTATTATTTACAACTCTATATCGTACTGTAGTATAATGGATCGAATAATAAATTAGGAACATTTTGCCATGTTTTTTTTTTGGTTTCGTTTGTTTCTTTATTTTCGTGTCCAATTACTGTCAGTCACTAAAAAGGCAATATCCGAAAAGCTGCAGACATCACTGCTGTATCCGTACAGTTAATTCAAAGTTTATTTTATTGCATCAAATAGAGATAGTAAAAATATGCTTACCACACCAAACTTTATCCTTTTTCGTTGATCATCCTTGAAGTTCATGTTAAACAGGAATTTTAGAATAATTTTAATTTCATAATTTCGCAAACTTTAATACAGGTAAAGTTCAGGTTTAGCTCAATTTTAAATGCTCGTGTCATTTAAAGTCTCGTATGATAAGTTTCCGCTACTTCCTCAAGAGTGTGACATACAATGATCAGCAGGAAACTCAATATGACCGCTAATTTATGATACAGTGTGTTTGCATGATAGATTTTGAAGCCAAAAACTGCTCACTTCCATTCGGATATGGCCAATGTGGTTCTCAAATCACTCCGGAATTGAAAAATCGGAAGCGATCGCCAATAGCAAAAAAAATCAAATTCTTTTTGACATAATGATTATTTTTAATATTATCGATCCCAGACCTTAAAACCTCGATATTATCATTAATTCGGAAAAGACAATAATTTTCCATCGATCCGAGTGTGAAAAGCAACATCACGCGTTCCATAACATTATATTTGTGAAAAAAAGAAAAAATAAGAGGTTGTATCCAAGACACGACCATAGATTTGACGAAGGATTACGTGCTCGGTATCAATATTCGACGACTGTGCTAGGGAAACCACTTTTTTTGCAGGCAATCGGTGATAATTTTGATCACCATTGCAACAGTTGGATATTTGTGTAATTTTCAATAGTAACCTATTGAAAATTGATAAAGTGTTCATTTTAGCAGATTCGTAGAAAAATTTAGAGTTAAATCCATCCGCCATCCAATCTGACCACTTTTCGTAACGCGGTCGATTTTCGTTGTTTGAAATTGCACCCCAAATATGTTGCCGAAAGATGTAATCCTACGTCAAAAAAATCATTTTGCATTTGATACTCAAAATCATTTCCACCAAACAAGCATGGGAAAATTCATTCTCTCGCGCGAGCATCACAGAATCAAAATAGCCATCCTCACCTACAAACAGATTGCCAAACGAGTGTAAATTCTTCCAAGCAAGCAGCTCGACTCAGAACTGACAGCAGTAGAAGGAAAGAAGGATAAACTGAAAGGCAGCCGAACAATTTTCTCTAACGAGGGAGAACCAATCCGAATGCTAACGATTTAAATAGCCGAGTCAGATTGTTTTTGGCCCACTGATTTAAATCAGTTGAATTGGGTTGTTTAGGGTTGTTTGAGGTAAATACATATTCGTCATCTGCATTAAAAATGGAACCGATATCCGAAATTTAATCAATTTTGGTATACTGGAACTATTTTAGATAAGTACGATTACATTAGCAAAAATCACCATCTTAGCGCCCCTCGGCGGGACTTTGTATGGGAGCGAGCTGTCAACGAATAGATTTAGTGTCATCGATCATAAATTTAAATCTTGATTTAAAAAGCGAGATGAATATCTACGGGATCGATAAAAATATCGTTGTGCTCAGAAAACGAAGCTCTATCAGATGATGTATAAAAATCGGTATATTTTTCGAAGTTAAATAACCCAATTGGCCACAGCAGTTTTATGTTATTTGCGTGACGCTTATGTTTATGTGTTACAGTATAACAGTTTTCTCGATATTAATAGCGATTTAAATGTGTCAATGTATGTATAAAGCTAGAAAATAAAAAGTGATTCTTTCTACAAAATTCTCATTCAGCTCACTCAGCAGAATGCAACCGTAAAAGGCTCAGCATGGAAAAAAAATAATGAAAGAGGAATCATCCACACTACTACACTCAGATTCATTCATGTTACGCTCAGTTGTCTGTTTTGCTCAATTCTGCGTTCATGCAAGAAAATAGTAGCAATGCGAATACGAACGGAATCAGTGCGACTCGCACAAGCTGCTGTTCGTTTCTGATGTTGTATGCGTGTGAGTGAGTAGTAAATGCAAAATGAAACGATTTTTCCCATGCTTGCCACCAAGTCGATTCTGATTATTGATATTACAACAACACAGGCGATAATGAACATACATTCACGAATGAACAAACACAAATGATGACTTCGAAATTCAGCGGTTGTCTTGATCAAGAGAATGTTGTCATGTAAAAATTCAAATTCAGGCAGGTAGTTGGTTTATCTTTCAAGGTTGTCACGATTTTCAGCTAATCTGCCGCCCATCGGTCCCATTTGCGTTTTTGACAAAACTGATTTTTTTTTCAATTGAAATGGTAGATAGTCACCTTTATTTTCGTAATAGTGGATGAACTCAACATCTTTGTTCTGGAAATCTTAGGAAAAAACAGAAAAACGGGATTTCTGATTTGTGCTATGGGACCGACTTGCCATGAGCGGAAGTAATTTGAGCGTAGAAGAAATGATTTTTATCAGCACTGGTACATGGGGTACTCGGTACATGTCCGAGTAGACCAATGTGGTTCTGGGCACATAATGTGGTATGTGCCCAGGACATTGTGGTCACTATTGGTCATGTCTTTTTTCAATCCTCTTGTGATTTTATGTGTCACATGATAAGTTTTAGTCCTAGCCAGTAGCTAGTCACTTTACTGAAGGCACCGGAATATGTCCGTGTAGACCAATGTGGTCCTTGGCACACAATGTAGCCTGTAATGATATTGATTTTAAATTCTCATGCAATTATAAAATGTGTCGCATGATGCGTTTTGGCCATTCACATTCCCGGGGTCACCCGGAACATATCCAGGTGTGGCCAATATAGTACTCTTTGCCCACAATTCTTATGTGTCTGGATGTATAGCATGATGTGATAGGTACGTTTCAGATCGCTTCTAGTTTCAATTAGTGATCAATGCACAGTGGTCCAGTGGGAATTTAGCCAAGGTTGCAAATGCTCATTTCAGCTAAAATAATGTTTTTTTGAATAATAAAACCAAAAGATGGTATGATGACATGTATTACTTGTAACTTACAAGAAGAGGTTACAAAGTATACGTTTGAAACATAAAACCTGTAAATGTTGCTTTCTATGAGTCACAATCAGCGATTTGCTGATCGCTGAGTAAGTGAGTGAGTGTGTGAAAAATCGCTTATTGTGACTGTCATGAAATGAAATAAACAGGTTTAATATGTCAAACACATTCTTTGTAACCTCTTCTTGTATCTTACCAATTCAAAATATGATCATAGCATCTAATTATTTCATAATTAAAAAAAAAAACATTGTTTTAGCTCAAATGAGTATTTGCAACCTTGAATTTAGCAAGAAAAAAAGTTCTAGTACATTTATCTTAAGTTTTAGAGTTATAATTTGCCGAAGAAACATTTTTCTGTCTCTTACCGTTCTCATTTTGGAGCAATATTCTGAATTGACTTGGGGTGGTCCTTAAAAAGTTTCTAATTTTTTTCCATGAAAGTCACCTTCAGATGATTATATATTATGACTTTTTGAAGTACACATTTTTGCCCAAAAAAATAATTGATATCTTTTAAAATTTTCGACATACCACCCGTTCACTGTAGTACAAGTTGGAAATTTAGCAAGACAAGAGTCCTAGTGATTTTAGATGGTTTGTGTCTTTTGTGAACCTTTTCAGCTTAAAAAAAATCTTCTTTTGGTCATTTAACTACTTTTTTAATTTTATAAAATAAAGACACATGTTCTTTGGTAAAGTTGTAGCTGAGATGCTTTCAAGGTACTTTGCTGAAGAAATATTTTTTTTCTATCTCTTAACGATATCGTTTCTCAAATCGCTCCAAAATATTAAAATCACCCAAAGTGAATTCAGAAAAATGGCCGGAGCCGAATATTTTTTACATGAT